CTGTTTTGATTACTGCAGCCTTGTAGTATAGTTTGAAGTCCAGTAGTGTGATGCCTCCAGCTGTGTTCTTTTGCTTAGAATTGACTGGGCTCTGTGGGCTCTCTTTTGGTTCCATATGAAGTTTAAGGTGTTTTTTTCCAGTTCTGTGAAGAAGGTCATTGGTAGCTTGATGGGGATAGTGTTGAATCTGTAAATTATTCTGGGCAGTATGGCCATTTTCACGATATTGATTCTTCCTAACCATGAACATGGAATGTTTCTCCATCTGTTTGTGTCCTTTCTTATTTCCTTGAGAAGTGGTTTGTAGTTCTCCTTGAAGAGGTCCTTTACATTCCTTGTTAGTTGTCTTCCTAGGTATTTTATTCTCTTTGTAGCAATTGTGAATGGCACTTCATTCTTGATTTGGCTCTCTTTAAGTCTGTTATTGGTGTATAGGAATGCTTGTGATTTTTGCACATTGACTTTGTATCCTGAGACTTTGCTGAAGTTCCTTATCAGTTTCAGGAGATTTTGGGTGAGACAATGGGGACTTCTAGGTATACAATCACGTTATCTGCAAAGAGAGACAATTTGACTTCCTCCTTTCCTATTTGAATACACTTTATTTCTTTTTCTTGCCTGATTGCTCTGGCTAGAACTTCCAGTACTATATTGAATAGGAGTGGTGAGAGAGAGCATCCTTGTCTAGTGCCAGATTTCAAAGGGAATGCTTCCAGTTTTTGCCCCTTCAGTATGATATTGGCTGTTGGTTTGTCATAAATAGCTTTTATTATTTTGAGATATGGTCCATCAATACGTAGGTTATTGAGGGTTTTTAACATAAAGTGCTGTTGAATTTTGTCAAAGGCCTTCTCTGCATCAGTTGAGATAATCATGTGGTTTTTGTCTTTGGTTCTGTTTATGTGGTGAATTATGTTTATAGACTTGTGTATGTTGAACCAGCCTTGCATCCCCGGGATGAAGCCTACTTGATCATGGTGGATAAGCTTTTTGATGTGCTGTTGCAATCAGCTTGCCAGTATTTTATTGAAGATTTTTGCATCTATGTTCATCATGGATATTGGCCTGAAGTTTCCTTTTCTTGTTGAGTCTCTGCCGGGTTTTGGAATCAGGATGATGTTGGTCTCATAAAATGATTTGGGAAGAATTCCCTCTTTTTGTATTGTTTGGAATAGTTTCAGAAGGAATGGTACCAGCTCCTCTTTGTATGTCTGGTAGAATTCGGCTGTGAACCTGTCTGGACCTGGGCTTTTTTTGGGTGGTAAGCTCTTAATTGCTGCCTCAACTTCACACCTTGTTATTGGTCTATTCAGGGTTTTGGCTTCTTCCTGGTTTAGGCTTGGGAGGAGGCAAGTGTCCAGGAATTTATCCATTTCTTCCAGGTTTATTAGTTTGTGTGCATAGAGTTGTTTGTAATAATCTCTGATGATGATTTGAATTTCTGTGGAATGTCTGGTGATATCCCCTTTATCGTTTTTTATTGCATCTATTTGGTTATTCTCTCTTTTCTTTTTTATTAACCTGGCTAGTGGTCTGTCTATTTGTTGATCTTTTCGAAAAACCAGCTCCTGGATTTATTGATTTTTTGAAGGATTTTTTGTGTCTCTATCTCCTTTAGTTCTGCTCTGATCTTAGTTATTTCTTGTCTTCTGCTAGGTTTTGAGTTTTTTTGGTCTTGCTCCTCTACCTCTTTCAATTTTGATGATAGGGTGTCAATTTTCAGTCTCTCCTTGCTTCTCATGTGGGCACTTATTGCCCTATATTTTCATCTAGAGACTGCTTTAAATGTGTCCCAGAGATTCTGGTATGTTGTATCTTCGTTCTCACTGGGTTCAAAGAACATCTTTATTTCTGCCTTCATTTCATTGTTTATCCCGTCAACATTCAAAAGCCAGTTGTTCAGTTTCCATGAAGCTGTGCAGTTCTGAGTTAGTTTCTCAATTCTGAGTTCTAAGTTGGTTGCACTGTGGTCTGAGAGACTGTTTGTTATAATTTCCATTCTTTTGCATTTGCTGAGGAGTGATTTGCTTCCAATTATGTGGTCAATTTTAGAGTAGGTGTGATGTGGTGCTGAGAAGAATGTATATTATGTGGATTTGGGGTAGAGAGTTCTGTAAATGTCTGTTAGGTTTGCTTGGTCCAGGTCTGAGTTCAAGTCCTGGATATCCTTGTTAATTTTCTGTCTTGTTGATCTGTCTAATATTGACAATGGGTGTTAAAGTCTCCCACTATTATTGTGTGGGAGTCTAAGTCTCTTTGTAAGTTATTAAGAACTTGCCTTATGTATCTGGGTGCTCCTGTATTGGGTGCATATATATTTAGAATCATTAGCTCTTCTTGTTGCATTGATCCTTTTACCATTATGTAATGTCCTTCTTTGTCTCTTTTGATCTTGTTGCTCTAATTTATCAGAGATGAGAATTGCAACTCCTGCTTTTTTTTGCTCTCCATTTGCTTGGTAAATCTTCCTCTATCCCTTTATTTTGAGCCTTTGTGTATCCTTGCATGTGAGATGGGTTTCCTGGATACAGAACACCAATGGGTTTTGGCTTTTTATCCAATTTGCCAGTCTGTGTCTTTTGATTGGGGCATTTAGTCCATTTACATTTAGGGTTAATATTGTTATGTGTGAATTTGATACTTACATTTTTGATACTACCTGGCTGTTTTGCCCATTAGTTGATGAAGATTCTTGATTGTGTTAATGCTCTTTATCATTTGGTGTGTTTTTGGAGTGGCTGGTACTGGTTGTTCCTTTATATGTGTAGAGCCTCTTTCAGGAGCTCTTGTAAAGCAGGCCTGGTGGTGATGAAATCTCTGAGTACTTGCTTGTTCGCAAAGGATTTTATTTTTCCTTCACTTCTGAAGCTTAATTTGGCTGGATATGAGATTCTGGGTTGAAAGTTCTTTTCTTTAAGGATGTTGAATATTGGCCCCCACTCTCTTCTGGCTTGTAGGGTTTCTGCTGAGAGATCTGCTGTGAGTCTGATAGGCTTCCCTTTGTGGGTAATCCGACTTTTCTCTCTGGCTGCCTTAGCATTTTCTCCTTCATTTCAACCTTGGTGAATCTGACGATTATGTGCCTTGGGGTTGCTCTTCTTGAGGAATATCTTTGTGGTGTTCTCTGTATTTCCTGGACTTGAATATTGGCCTGCCTTGCTAGGTTGGGGAAGTTTTCCTGGATAATATCCTGAAGAGTATTTTCCAGCTTGGATTCATTTTCTTCGTCACATTCAGGTACACCTATCAAACGTAGATTAGGTCTTTTCACATAGTCCCACATTTCTTGGAGACTTTGTTCATTCCTTTTTACCCTTTTTTCCTCTATTCTTGCCTTCTCATTTTATTTCATTGAGTTGATCTTTGACCTCTGATATCCTTTCTTTTGCTTGGTCAATTCGGCTGATGAAACTTGTGCATGCTTCGCAAAGTTCTCGTGTTTTGTTTTTCAGCTCCATCAATTCACTTATATTCCTCTCTATGTTGTCCATTCTTGTTAGCACTTCGTCAAATCTTTTTTCAAGGTTCTTAGTTTCTTTGCATTGGGTTAGAACATGTTCTTTTAGTTCACAGAAGTTTCTTACTACCCAGCTTCTGAAGTCTGATTCTGTCATTTCATCACACTCCTTCTCCATCCAGCCTTGTTCCCTTGCTGGTGAGGAGTTGTGACCCTTTGTAGGAGGAGAGGTGTTCTGGTTTTGGGTGTTTTCATCCTTTTTGCGCTGGTTTCTTCCCATCTTTGTGGGTTTATCCACCTGTTGTCTTTGTAGTTGCTGAATTTCAGATTGGGTCTCTGAGTGAACTTCCAGGTTGTGGATGCTGAAGTTACTTCTTTTTCTTAGCTTTCCTTCTAACAGTCTGTCCCCTCTGCTGTAGGTCTGCTGAGGTCCACTCCAGGCCCTGCTTGCCTGGGGATCACCTGCAGCAGCTGCAGAACAGTAAGGGTTGCTACCAGTTTCTTCTTCTGCTATCATCTTTGTCCAAGAAGGATACCCACCAAATGTCAGTCTGTTCTCTCCTTTATGAGGTGACTCTTTGGACATAAGGGGGTCAGGGAGCTGCTTGAGGAGACAGTCTGTCCTTTATAGGAGCTCAAGTGCTGAGCTGTGAATTCCGTTGTTCATTCAGAGTTGCTGGGCAGGTACGTTTAAGTCTGCTGCAGCAGGACTCATAAACTCCATTTTTTTTTTCCCCAGGTGCTCTGTCCCAGGGAGTTAGGGCTTTATTTATGAGTTTCCATTGTGCTGCTGCCTTTTTTTTTTCAGGACTGCCCTGCCCAGCGAGGAGGCAGTCTAGTCACTGTCTGCCTGCAGAGGCTTTGCTAAACTGCTGTGGGTTCTGCCCAGCTGCCGTGTGATCTTCCCTGCAGTCCTGTTTATATGGATGTAGTTAGAACTGCCTCGGCAATGGTGGCCCGCCTCTGTAATGGTGGACTCTCTCTGTAATGGCATGTTGCCTCGGCAATGGCAGACTACCTCCATAGTGGTGGAGTGTCTCAGTAATGGCGGACGCCCCTCCCCCACAGAGCTTGACCATCCCAGGTTCAGCTGTGCTTGCTGTGAAACTCTCAACCGAGAGCGTTTTCAATTGCTGTTTTGTTTTTGTGTGTGTGTGTGGGGGTGGGTCCAGCCGAGCCTGATCACCTGACATCCTTTTTAAATCAGATGAATGGGTGATCTGCCTTCCCGGGCCTCCAATCACCAGCTAACAGGGCACCTGGACCAGTGTATTTTGTATGGAGAACCACCGCTCCAGGGTGCCGGCAAAGCAGCCGCGCCAGCCAAAACAGCTGCGTGGTCAAAACAGCCGCACTGGCCAAAACAGCCATGCTGGCGAACCGTGGGGCTCCTCCACCTGGGAATCTCTGGTCTGTGGGTAATAAAAATTTGTCTGGAAATGCAGTGTCCACTCACCCTCTGCACTTTCACTGGGAGCTGCAATCCTGAGCTGTTCCTAGTCAGCCATCTTGGGTCCTCTCCGTCTTATTTGCATATTATAACAACATATTAAACAACACTCAGAGGCATGTGGCTCTTTGGTTAGTGATGCTTGTGAAGAGTGGCCCTGAGTTGTGTTAATGGGGAGTACTAATGGTTTAGATAAATTAGTAGCTGAGTGCTCCAAGGAGGTGAGAGCCTTGCCTGAGAGGAGTTTTGAGCAAAAGTGTTCCTATACAGTATTCCTAAGATTTCCTGTAGGATTCTACAGCAAAACAACAACAACAACGTGCATCTACCAACTGTACACGTTTTCTTCTACAGGCAGATAAGCAGATGGCAGCTCCTTAACCCACCCGCTGGAGAATCCTCTGTGCTCCACAGGCACTCTGAGCACTGCTGGGTGCTTTATAGTTTGAGTGTTGTAAAACTTGTCTTTTTATATGGGTGTGTGTTCTTGGGCATCCCTGTACCCTCAGCATACCTTTATTGGTGAGACCAGCTCCCAGTATATTAACGTAGATTCAAGATCTCTCAAAGTGATCGAGTGGTCGGTGAAAAAGAAAGAGAGACAAGGAAAAAGTTTTCCTTAAAGCTGGGCCCAGGGGAGACACCACATAATGCTGCTCCGTGGATGTCTGACATTCCCCTGAAAACCTCAGTTTTTCATTGTGCTCTTTCAATCGGGGAGGGGGAGCAAAGTTTCAGTGATAATTATACAAAAAGAATACATTTGCAAAAACTGGTGCACCAGAATCACAATTTCGTATTTTAAAAGCAGAACAATGTAAGGATAACTTTCTGTGTGTCAGCATAGAAACCATACACCTTAGCAAGAATATAGGTTAAACATAAACTTATGATTATCAGCAAGAACATATTGGGCTCACAACTACAGGGGGAACAGGATCTGACACAGGACAACCAGCCTGATCACAAAATCTGCGAGAGGAGCGGGTCTCCATGCAGGCCTGGGGGAGCAGTGGGTGAAGAAAGGCTTTCACATCCTTATCTCAACCACAGAGACAGACACCCCTCATGTGTCCGTTCGTAGGCTCTCCATAAGGGTCGCATTCCCTTGCCAGGGCTCTAATCAATATGCCTTCGCTGGGAAAGGAATCTGGGTAATAAGCCTCTCCATTACAGGTCTGTTTATAGGCTCTCTGCAACGAGAAGCCTATTACCTGCTGTCATCTCTCTCCGGCAGTCAAGCTATGTGGTTAGTCCCATTCACAGAGTTCCTGTTGTTACCGGAACAGTTCAGCAGACCCAAAGTTACAAGCTGCCCCTCAGCAAAGCCAAAGTTACAAGTCACATCTCAGCATTTCACATTATCTATCCTTCATTTTCTCAAATCTAATCGATACAGTAAGTAACAGGCATCACAAAGCAAATAACTCATTTCGGGGAAACCAAATTCTAAGAGAATTTACAGGTTAAAAATCAACAATTTCTTCTTGTTATTTCAGATAGCCTGGGTTTTGCCAGTTTTTCCAGAAGCTTGGGGTTGCCTAGTCACCACAGAGGGGTCCAGAGTATTCCCAGCAACTTTGACCCAGTATTTGGTACACTGTAAGCGTGCCCAATAAATGTGTGAAAAAATGAATCAATGGATGGATGAATGGGTGATGAGTGCTACGGTTTGGACAGTTTGTCTGTCCCTACCAGGTCTCATGTTGAAATGTGCTCCCCGTGGTGGAGGTGGGGCCTGGTGGAGGGGTTTTGATCATCGGGGCAGTCCTGCACGAACATCTTGGTGCCACCCTCCCAGAAGTGAGTGAGTTCTCACTCTAATAGTTCCTATAAGAATCGATTGTTTTAAAAAAGCTTGGTACTTCCTCCCCTTTCTTTCTTGCTTCTTCTCTTGCCTTGTGATGCCTGATCTGCTTCCCCTTCTGCTATGCATGGAAGCTTCTGAAGTCCCTCACCAGAAGCAGATGCTGGCCCCATACTCCTTGTACAGTCTGCAAAGCTGTGAGTCAAATAAACCTCTTCTCCTTATAACTTGTCCAGCTGTAGGTAATCCCCCATAGCAATGCAAAAATGGATGAACACAAGGAGTCACATTTGTAAAAAAAAGTGCAGTCTTTGAAAATTTGGGAGTGACTTACCTGGAAGTTTACAATAATTTGTTCTACATAGGGCAACACAGGACAGAAACCACCTGTTTTGCATTGGGCTATTCTATCCATCAGACTTAAGGATAATCCACTGAGGGCAGGGATACTGTCCATTTCTTGCCATTGTTGTGAGTTTCCAGTGCTCACAACAAAGATTTGTTGGATGAATGAATGAATAAACAGCTAATGTAAAAGCAGAGGATGGTGTCATTGTTAAGAGCATGGACTTGGGATCTATGTTGCTTAGGTTCAAACACAAGGTACACAACCTTGAGCAAGTTATTTAAACCCTGTGTGCCTCAGTTTCCTCATCTATAAAATGAGGATCATGGTAGTGTCTACCTCATAGCGCTGTTGTGAGGATGGAATGAGAACTCATTTAAAGCACTTAGAACAGTCCCTACAGAATAGTAAGCCATATAGAAACGTTTGCCGTTATTATGGAATCTCAGAGTGTCCTTAATATCAACAGAAATTATTTTTCAAAAAAAAGGAAATACAGCCATTGGACCAAAATGGCCTTTTAAGTAAGTTCTGTGTCCTACCTCCATTATCTGTAGAACTTTGGGATTTCAGGACATAATTCCAGGCAAATGAGTTTCTATAGCCTCAATATATTTGAAAAACAAACAAACAAACACAGTTCAACAAATGAAAATCTAGACCTGAGATCAAGTAATTTGGTACTGTCCTGATTCTGCCTAATGCATGTCTAAGCCTGACTTAGTTAAAGGTAAAGAGAAACAAAATTAGAAAAGCACTGATCATTTTTTTAAAGGGGGATATTGTTACTTAAGAAAGACCATTGGCATAATTGCATTGTTAAAATACTGTACTTTGGAAAGATACTTTTTTTCCTGACAAATCTTAGGCAAAAACAGATGACAGAAAAGCAATCTAGTCAGCTCAGATTAAGGCTCTAATAGAAGAAAGAGGGCAAACCTGAAAAAAATGCAGTCATTTACTTAAAAGCAATTTCTAAAGCCAAAAAATTAATAATAACTAAATCTGTGTTACAGACTTCATTTGCTATTAGGAATGAATTTGGATGGGTCTTGGAGCCTTACACCATGCATCAAAACTAATTTAAGCTTGGATGACTTTCTTTTTCATATGGTATATTTAACTCTTATCAGATGGATATACGGACAAATAAGTAATGACATGTGCACAGTAAATTAAGCTAAAGCCATTTTTCTCCTTTATGGACTTAACATGGGGAAAGCATTATTCAGGGATGATTTCTTCAGACACTCGCCCCTGTAAGAGCCTGTCATGGACCTGAGTCATTAACATGGTATAAAAGAAGAAATTTCGTGCTGTTACCCACGTGTTCTTCCTGAGCCCTGTTAAACTGGACTCCACTGTGCCCTGCACGATGGGCTTGTTGCTAGGTAACAGTCACAGGGACCCCGGAAAGCCTTTCCTCGGGGCTGCAGATATTTTCTAGTAAAGCTCTGGCTTCTGCAGTCTGGAAACTGTGTTTCCATTACTCATTGTCTCTGTTGCTCTTCCTCCCATTTGCTTTTGTTTACAGATCCCAATTTAACAAATGAGTTCATCCATCTCATGCTGTTAAACAGCTGTGTAAAATAGAGACCCCACTTTAATGGTATTGGTCTCCTGCAACAGGTAATTTAATAAGGAGCATTCGACCACTGATGTTTGTCTCTACTTTGTACAAAGGCAAGCATTAAGAAAAGCATGCAACCGTATTAAGATGCTTCACAACAACAAGATGCTCTTTAAAATACCGGTTTAACTGAGACAAAATCTGTTTCAAATCACAGCTGTTTAGGAGACACGTGGAGATATTTGAAAATGAACTAGATATTAGATGACGTTAAGAAATATGCTAAAATGTCAGATGTGGAAATCGCATGGTGGTGATATAACAGAATGTACTCATTCTTTGAAGGTGATGCTTAGAGTACAGTGTCATAATATCTATAAATTACTTTAAAAGGCTTCAGCTAAAAATACAGATAAAGCAAATATGACAAAATATTAATATTACTAGATCTGGATGGTGTGCTATGTGAGTATTCATTGTTCTATTCATATTTTTATATGTTGACATTTTTCATAATAAAAAGTAATTCATATTTAAAAAAAAAAACACTACCATCTTCAGAGGAGGATCTCGTAACATAGAAAGCCGATTTATTCTGCTCCTGAAAAGAAGAAGAAGAATTTTAAAGGGGCTGGAGTAGTAATTGAGGAAGAAGATTGGGGAGGCAGAGAGAGAAAAAGTGTGTAAGGTTGAGGACCCTGTGGAGGGAAGTGGCCATTTAGAAAGCCCCAGTGGTAAGTGGATGCAGAATAATGACTTGTAGTGCTCAATTTGAAATCATTTGTGTCTCTGCAACGTAAAGTCCTTCTCTACAAAACACAATTATTCAGTAAGTTGTGCTATACTCAAAATGATTCATGAGAGTGAAAAATGAATCAGGTGACAACTTCAGTGTTGTAGAAAGAGTCAAAAGGCACACGATGGTAAAACCATCCACATACTTAGCCATTTTCATGGAAGCTGGAGTTGAAGGTGATCATGAGACTCAAGTCCTTGGTAATTCATGGAAAGCTTTGGAAAGAGATTAAAGGTTTAACCGAGAATGAAATTAGACTTGAAACAATCTCATCTTGATCTCAAGGGCTCAAGTTATATCGGGACAGTAAATTTTAGTCTTTCTTCAAGTCTAATAAGATTGAAATAAAGTATAATATTATCTCATTTGTAACAAAGTAGGGCATGCATATAATTTATCAATTAATCAGGTCATAAAATAGATATATTTACTGCGAAAGTCATCCAATAAATATTTACTGAGTATATAGTGTTCCAGGTACATTTTTATAAGCTAAAGACTGACACAGCAGCAGTGGTTTATATTTTGGCATGTACTGTAAAAGAAGGATGGGTCCTAGACATCACGTGAAGGCAGAACCAAGAAAGTGTGCTGATGGCTTGGAGTACAGGAGAATGAGAGGAGTAAATGATGACATCCTTTATCACTAATTAAGTGACAAGGGAAAGACTGCAGGAGGGGCAGGCTTAGTGGGCACAGTAGAAGATAAGGGACTGGCTATGTTAAGTTTGAGATGCTGTTTGACATCTGGTGGAGATGTTCTGAAGGCAGATGGATATGGGCATGAGGAGTGGACTGACGTTGGGGACAGAAATGTAAGTTTAAAGTGTGTGGTATATGTTTATTGTTTTAAGTGTACCTGGGATTTGTTTTACTCAGTCATGGAAAGATACACAGACATGCACAGCCCTGTCATGAAGGAATAAGTGTATTATACTCACAGATCCCTAGAAACAGGTGGCATGGCAGGTCAAGAAGGGTCACATGGGGAAGCACCAAAGTGAGATGGGAGGGCAGAGAGAGAGAGAAATTGTAAGCAACAGCCTTCACTGTGGTTTCCCGAGAAAGAATGGGTAAGGCAGAGTGAGTACATTTCAGATTGGCTAGTTAGTATCATTTCAGCGGGCTCTGTGTGTAGAAGCTGTCCCTCCTTGTCTGATATCTGGTCGTGTGGTCACTGAAGCATGTGGGCAGTGGCCCGGGGTGTAAAAGCTCAGATGAAGAAATGGAGGATATAGGCTCTGGCTTGGTTTGGTTTGCAATTGAGAGAGTTGTTGTTTACTCTCTCTAGGAATTGGCTAACCCTGGGAGAAGCAGTCCCTCCAGGGTCAGCCAGGCGTCAGACGTCAAAGCATCAGCATATAAAAAATAAAAGACACCACAGTTAACACAATAATATTTAAAGTTATGATCATGGATGAGATCATTAGGGGTTGGAGCTATGGGCATTCCAAGCAAGAGGTCAGCAAGATAAGATGGTTACAGCAAACAAACAGATAAAAGGGAGGAAAGCAGCAGAGAAAACCAGGAGAACATGGTATCCCCAAAGTCAAGCAAATAGTTTCCCAGAGGCAGGAGTGAGAAACTGTGCAAAATGTGCAAATGTTGTCACGTAAACAACATGGGGGCATTGGTGACACTTGCAAGAGTAATTTTGGTGAAGTTTTGGGATCAAAAGCTCAAATGAATCATGTTTAAGAGGACAGAAGGGAGGATTTGGGAAAAGTGCTAAGTACTCTTTTGAGATGTTTTGCTATAAAGGGAGAACAGAAATGAAGTAAAACCCAGAGTGGGGTCAATATAAATTTTTTTAAGATGGAAGGAAAAACTGAGCAAAGGAATGGCACAAGGAAGAGCTTGGAGAGGTGCCTGTGAGTACACAAGCAGGGTGCAAGAGGAGGGTCCAGCCTTGGATCGGGGTGTGGACAGTTCAACCACACTGTCATGGTCTGAATGTTGCTTCAAATTCAAATGTTGAAATCGAATCCCCAGTGTGATAGTTTCTGAAAGTGGGGCTTTGGGGAGGTGATTAGGCCATAAATGGGATTCAGACCCTTATAAGAGAGATGCCAGAGAGCTAGGTAGTCCCTCCCTCCATGTGAAGACATAGCAAAAAAGCACCATTGATGAACCAGAAAGCAAACCCTCACTAGACATGGACTCTGCTGGCGCCTTGTTCTTGGACTTCCCAGGCTGTAGAACCATAAGAAATAAATTTCTGTTGTTTGTAAGCTACCCGTCTATGCCTTTTTGTTATAGCAGCCCAAACAGACTAAGACATAGTGATGGGCGGGGAACAGGCACAGGTGCTGGTCTTCTTGAGGATATGAGGATACAAAAGCTTTCTTTTTCTCGGTGCAGTGCTGTTTTTAGCTTGAGGGCTGTTCTTTTATCTGACGCTGACTTTGATGGTATTGACTGGATAGGATACAACAATCTGATTCATGTGAAGTGAAAGAGACTCCCCCATCTCCTTTTTCATTTTGGCATGGCATTGTAAAAGGAGGAAATTGAAAGAAAGAAATGTTCATCTAAAAATACAGTCACATAAACCAGAGGAGTATGGTCCTGATTAAACTGCTCACACCATCTTGGGAGCAAGTGGATGTGGGAAGAGAAAGAACTGAATGTGATAACAGTAAACATTTTGATGCCACTTTCAAGAAGCAAAAAGTTAGTTACTTCCCAGAGTATCCTAAAGGTGAAAGAAGAAAAATAAAACCTCACATACACAAAATGTAGATTCAGCATTTGACTGCATCAGGAAAGGCTTGATAGCCTCCGAGGGAGTCCCTAAGAAAACGGTTTAGGAGGGAGATGCGCCGGCACACACACCCCCCTAAACACTTAACACCCTTAACCTCTCAAATCCCTGACAGATCACAGCCCTGGGAGTTATGTTGCTGGGACTGGGATGCCTGCATTCAAGCAGCTTATTCTTTTGACCTTGTGGTTGTTATGTGCCAGTTGCAATGACATGTCCCCTGCTCTTCTCTTATAAATAAAGGCAATTTACTCATCACTGTCAAACAGTGCCCTAAAGACACCTATTTTTTTTTCATGTTTGTAACAATCCTCTAGGTGGGTGGGGTAGCCTTCGTGGAAGTGATAGGGCTCTGAGCCTGATGAGAAATCGTAAAGTGCTCCCACTGCACGGAAAAGGTCATCTCTGACATTCGGTCAGGCCAGCCTTTGAGCTGTCAGTCCAATCCTAAGACAGGCTTATCCTCCCCACAGAGCTGGCCCTGCTTCCCCTGTAGGTGCTGGCAGTGTGTCCTGGGCACCAAGGCCCACAGCATCGTCAGCTGAGTCTCCCAGATGCCTTCCCAGGGGCTGGGCCCCCTCAGTATAGCACTGTAATTCACCCAGCCAAGGATGTGCAGGCACAGCCAGGAGCAATGGCTTTCCCACCTCCCTAAATGAATTCCTCCCACCCCTTCCAAGGAGCTGTAAGCAGCTCAGATACCCTGTGAGCCTTTATTCACTTCCCTTGGGTGTGTATTTGGTGTGTTTAAATTCTAGCTGACTCACTCTGGGCCTTAAAAACCATTTTATCCTGAATTCACCCATCTGCTGCCCAGGAGGGAATCATTTTCAAGCCAAAGTTTTTCACCTGGGTCATGCCTATCTCGTGCAGTGACAAATCACAGTTGGCCCTCTCACCAGAAATGATCCGGCAGACAGAATGTTTTCATTTGTACCAAGGCCCCCGTGTTATCTTTTATGCTAGTCACAATTCCTTTCCCAGGCTTTCTTCTCCATCATGAAAGTGTATCACAGTTAAGGAAAAGAAAGCTCCCGCATCTAGGGTCCTCTGAGGTCCTAACTGATTTAAACCACAGGCAGATTTTCTGTTTGCCGTTTCTTCCCATGGAAACAATTCACACTGCACGGCCTGTGTTCAGGGAGGGGAATGACTGGCGTTTGCCGTAGGGATAGCTGGTGTTGTTTCCCAGTTCTCCTTTTCCTCAGTATGGGTTATAGAGTCATCTTTATTCAGGCTCAGAAAATCTTGATTTATGTCAGTAATAAGTATGTGCTTTGTGTTGGAGCCAGTGTGAACTGCTCAGAATACATGATGTGTTGGTTATAAATTGATAACCATCTATTGTAGATCACAGGGAGCTCAGAAGGAGACAGTCATGTGTATCAATTCACAGCATATAGGCCTGGCCCCAGTGTGCACATCCCAGTCTACATGGCCAGAGCATCTTAACGTAACCCAAACTACCCCACAGGCATCTAAAGCCATTTCTCAATTTCACTAAGAACACGCAGATCCTCTTTCAAGTCAGTCATGAGTCTTGCTTATGAATCTAACTCTCCTCTAAGAAGCCTGATCTCCCAAGTGAAAATCTGCTCTGTTAACTGTGTGCCTTATGAGGAAATAAATGTCCCACAGCTGTGAGAGGTAAAATTCAAACACA